ATAAGACAGAGTCTCACTCTGTCACCTGGATGACAGTGCAGTGGTGTCATCACAGCTCACTGCAACCTCAAACTGCAAACCACCACCACTACCAGCATGATGAAACAGATGCCTCCTGGGCATAAGTGCAGGGTGGCATCAGTGGAGAACAATTCTAGTACCTGGCTGCTGATGGTGAGGGTGGACAGCTTCCAGCTTTGCATCACCAGAGCAGAGCAGACCACTGACTGCAGATGCAGGGTGGGTCACAGTAGGAGCATCACTCACACAGGCCCGGGCTGCAGGGGTCCAAGGGGCTGGTCCTGGAGCTGAAAGTTCCATCTCTGCCTCCTCATGGCGACCTCTGAGGCTAGGCATGGCTGGAACCTGAAACCCAGCAAGGACATGGGTGAGTGCTCAGAAGGGCTAGTTCCAGGGATCCATCCTCCTATCATGCAGGGGTCTCTTCCTCTCTTCTTCTTCCCCCACTGCAGCCAGAGACCTGAAGAGGTCCTGGGGCTTCCAGATTCCAGGGATTGATGCTATGTCCCCTGATGTGCAACCCAAGGGGAGGGAGAGTCAGCCACTGGGACAGACTCATGAGCCAGGGCTGTAGGTATAAAGGCGTAAGATGCTGACCCCCAAGGCAAAGTGAGCCCACAATGCCTGGCAAGCACCCCTGCCTCCCGAGGGGCCCAGGCCCATCATGATAGGCGGAGAGTAGCCCCCAGAGATTGCACCATGCTGTGGGTCCACTCCTCTCAATTCTTGTTCCTGATACTTACAGTGCCCTAAAGCTGGGCACAGCAGACCCACCTAAGGTTAAGCAGCCAGGGGCAGCCTGTGCTGGAAATACACGTGGTCCCCATATGCCAATGTCCACAAATCCTACTGGTCAATTCTGAGTTACACCCTCCTGGCAGCATCTACAGTAGATGTCCCCATCTCTGTCCACCTGGGATGTCCTCCCACTGTACCAGCTGCTCCCTCTCAGCTTCCCATCTCCCTTTCCGTGTTGGCACCGAAGGGTTCACTTCCACACCTACACCAACTTCCTTGGTGATTTTTGTCCAGTCCTGAGGTGTCAACACTCCTTATCCTGTGACGACTTGCAAACTTGGTCTCAGATTCTCCAGTCCTAATTGCTCCCTCTAAGTAGGAGGACATTCCCACCTGGTGGCATGATGAGTCCTGATTCCCCCCCAACCCCCACCTCCTCACTGCCCACTCTGTGTAGATGCACCACACCCTGCCCACAGGCCCACCTGGGAGCCCTCACTCACACTACACTACAACTCACTCCTCTGCCCTTTACGCGTGAGGACAAGGCAGGAAATACTGGCACAAACCCACAGTGGAAAATGCTTGTCAACCTACAGCTGGATTTCTCCTCTTAGATACACATTTTTCAGTGTTTCCTGAACACTCACTGCATGCTGGGGTTTGTTCTAAGGGACACGGCAGTAGACTGTTGCCCTCATGGAGCTCCCTGGGGGGGTCAGATCATAGCAAAATGATCTATCAGTAAGGTGGGGCAAGTGCTCTGGGCACAGGTAGCAGGGAAGGGTCAGAGGCCTGGGGCAGGGGGGCATTTTAACTAGGAGAGGCAGGGAGGTCTCGCTGAGAAGTGACCTAAAGGTGGGAGGGAAAGAGCATGCAGACACTGGGGAGAGGCAGTCCCAGGCAGGGGCAGAGTGAAAGCAAAGGCTGCGGAAGGGAGGGTCACGCAGGGCAGGTTCCACGAACAGTGGGATAGCCAGTGTGGATGGGGAAACGAGGGAGCAGAGTCACACCCAAGAGGCACTGTGTCAGGTCCCACAGGCTTTGCAGTGAGGGTACAGTCTGAAATGGAGGTTCCACAGCAGAGACTTAGAAGGTAGCTGGGGTGTGGCCTCCCATCCCCCCGAGGTGGCACGAACTCTGTCCAGATGCAGTGTCCTCAGCCAGTAGACTCTCCTGTATCCTTTCTGCCTTGCCTGGGAAGAAGGATGGTTTGCTCCACTTGGACTGAGCTAAAGTTGAGGAGAGATGTCAGGAGGTGGCAGTGTCACCTGCTGAGAGTGAGTGAGGGTGTGGTCAAGGGGATATGGAAACGGAACTGACATGTGCCTTCTCTGAAGGGTGGCAGAAGGATGGTACAGGAAGTCAAGGTGATGGCAGGTGTCACTCACAGTGTGTCCAGGGAAGGAAGAAGGGATGGGTAGAGCTGCTGGACAGAGATCATCATCGCAGAGGAAAGCACAAATAGCAGCTAGAGTAAGAAGGCCAGAGGACAAGCATAAAGACAAAGCTCGGGCAAGAAGGCAAGGAGGTATGGACAAAGCTCACAGGGATGGTCACTAGGGACAGACTATAAGAGGCCATGACTGCCCTGTAAGGCACCAGCCACATTTCTGTATCAGGAAACAAACCAATAAAATATTTCAAGATTAACCTGACAGGGTGCTCACAGGGACAGTGTGAGATGAGAGTCAAAGCAGGAAGAACAGGGAGTAAGGTGTCCATCCATGCAGCAGAACAGAGTAGAAGACATGGGGCATGGGGTCACAAGACCCTAAGTGACTGTGTGCCTGTCCTGAGAAAACTTTCACTCTCCCCCATCCAAGGGAAGACACAATCTTTATTTAGTTTATTGCAGTATTTATTTAGTTCATTTTATTTTAAAATACTTGGAATCCTTGTCATTGTTACTAAATATGGGGACACTCACATGGCTCAAAAATTTTAAACTAAAAAAGGATTTATAGTGAAAAATCTCCAAGCCAGCCACTCAGTTTCCCTTCGGTTTCTAGTATACTCTTCCAGATTATTCTAGGCTTATACAAGCAAATATGCATTTTTTTTGCCTACTTATTAAAATTATACCAAACTATGCTTTTGTTTTACACTTTGTTTTTCTCACCTCATTATAGGCAAGATCTTGCCAACAAGGACATAGAATTAATCTGTGGTGGGCAGAACACCCCCTCCCCCCACGTCCACGTTCTAATCCCTGGAACCTGTGGATAAGTTACCCTACACAGTAAAAGGGAATTTGCAGAGGGACTTAAGGTTATGGACATGATTATTACGCTGGTGGACCCAACTAATCACGAGTTCTTAAAAGCCTGAGAAGGATCTGACAGGGCCACAAAGACCTGCAGGTGCTAAGGGCGGCTCAGGCCGGCATGCAGCAAGGAAACGTGGACCTCTGAGCAACAATCGCAAGGAAACAAATGCTGTCAACAGCCTGAACGAGCTCGGAGGCAGATCTTCCCAGATAAACGCTAAACCTGTTGCCGAGAAGGCAGACAACTGAAGACCCAGAAGCCACCCTCCAAACAGCAGGCATCCAATTCCTCAGCCCCCTACTCCCTTGGGACAGAACAAGTCCAAACTCTTCCCCTCCCCATAGTCTCCTTCCCAAAGAGTGAATCCACCTCTAATGTAGTCTTCCAGGCAGGACACTTGGCGCCAAGCGAAACCCCCTTTTCTGCCCCGGCTCTATGGGTCTCCGACGAGGCAGCGAGTTCCTGGAGCCTCTTCCTCCACCCGAACCCCCTGTGCGCCTGGGAACACCATTCAATGGTACATCTGCCCCGTCCCTCCGCCCGAGCTCCTGTGGTGGCCTCGCCATGCGATAACGCTGCCAGCCTTCGGGACAGAGTCGCAGCTCGGCCTACATAGCCGCACCGTGCCGCATGCGCTACCCCCGACCCCTTTCCGGGAGGCCGCCCTCCGAGGCTCCAACTCCCACCCCAGGCCGAGCAGCCCCCGCCCTGCCCGCCCGGCGCTCCCATAACCCCCCGCGCGGCTCCGCCCCCGCCCGATTCGAGCCCGGAGAGGCGCCGCGTTACCGCCACCACGAAGGTGACTCGGGAACACCTGGACGCACAGTCGTAAACCTGGAGCATTCGTACAACTCACTAACCTCCTTAACCGGTCGCGCACTGCAGAGAACGCTGCGCCGCAGCACCAAAGCGTCTCGGCCCAGGAACCGACTGACACCCGGAAGTCCCGCCCGACTTCCGGCCGGTGGACAAGTCCGCTCTGGGACGTCTTAGCCACTCTGGACGGCGGAGCCGGGGCGACTCTGTGGTACCGCTCCAAGGCTGGGTATCCCGAACCCCGAGCCCGGAGTGCCTCCTGATCTTGGCGGTCAGAGTGGAACTGTGCACTGAACAAGGTGGCAACAAAATAAAAGGAGACACTATTAGAAATGCAGAGAGAGCTAGATATACTGCTGTAGTGATAGATTTTAATACACAGATCCTCAGAATTCGTACAGATTGACAAAACGTAAGGACGCACTGGGAAGAACTGATTGAAGAACTAAGTGATTTGACAGATAAATGGAAAAATTCAAATTCCTTCAGTAGATAATATATTTTCATGAGGTTCTGCATGACTCATTTACAAAAATTAACTATACACTTGGACATAAAGAACGAATATTTTAAAATATTCATCTCGTATGCACATTAAACTATCAAAATAACGAATACATAATTCAAAATTCACAAAAAAACCTAAGGAATTTAAGAAACATTGTAGATAACCTTTAAATTCAAAAGGCCATTAGCTAGAAAATTACAAACTATAAAGTAATGAAAACTCTTTATTCTTAAATCTATGAGACCCAGTGTAAATTGTACTAAGAGAAAAATATATAGCCTTAAATAAGTCTTTGTTATGAAAGAAGGTAAAAGCATTTATCTCAAGAAGTGAGAAAAAAGGGCATGGTGGGGTGACTCCCACCCGTAGTACCAGCACATTGGGAGGCCTAGGTGGGAGGATGGCTTGAGGCCAGGATTTTGAGACCAGCCTGAGCAACATAGGGAGACCTGTCTCTATAAAAAATAAAATTTTAAAAATTATCCAGGTATGGTGGCTCACCTGTAGTTCCAGCAACTCTGGAGGTTGAGGCAGGAGGATCTCTTGAGCCTAGGAGTTGGAGGCTGCAGTGAGATATGATCGTTTCACTGCACTCCAGCCTGGGCCACAGAGCAAGGCCCTGTCCTAAAAAAAAAAAAAAAAAAGAGAAGTTAGTAAAAAGGATCAATAGCATTTCTCTGCACCAGCAATAACTAACCAGATAATATAACAAAAAATAAAGTATCCTCTGCAATACCAACAAAAACTATAGGATATTTGGGAATTAAAATAACAAAAAGCACTCAAGACATCTTTGAACACTTTGAAATTGTATTATAGTAAAGGACACAGACGACTGTTTCAATCAATGGAGATATATTTCTTGCTCTTGGATAGACCAACTTAATATTTTGAAGATTTAATTTCCCCTAATTTAACCTATAAATTCACTGCAATACAATCAAAGTTCTACTTGGATTTTTAGGAGGAAACTCAAAATGTGTATGGAAAACTAAGTCAATGAA